TGATATAATACGCATTTTGGCCGTTTTGCTAATTTAACACTATAGTGGACCTTCACTCTCGTTATTTTTGCTTGGATTTTATTCACATCCATTCATTTAAAAATTTAACTTTGCGAATTTCGTTAAGGTTCACTCTTTCACATATACTCTGAGAATGTGGTCTCTAGAATGCACCCGATGCACCTGAGTTTTAGCTTCATATAGTTAAATTAGGCTTTAGTCAATCAGATAGGTATATCAGATAGTTTGATCAAATGAGATGGACTCAACTAAAGCTTGCAGAGTCTGCATATTTTTAGATAGAAATATCTTTCGAATGTATTTCACTCGGCACCTGTACGCTAAGAGTTATAGGTAATATCTTTTCATCATCACATCATCTTCTAAATTCTTTTTTTTTTCAGTTTTTTGTTTTCAAGTGTGAGGATTATGATCATCGTTGGAATTGAGATAATTAGTTGGAAGTGATCAATAAATGAATGACGATAGGATGCAATTGAATTTTCAGGTGGATCTCCGAATTAACATCAAAAGAATGGTTGTATAGCAAATGGGGACGTCGGTTCCGGATTGCTTTATTAGGAACAACAATAATAGGATATCCTGTTGGATCGTTATTATTGAATGGACCCTTGTTGAAATATACACTTGCGATTAGATATAAAGATGATGAAGATGTGAAGTCGATTAGGCGATTGAATGATATAATTGATTCGGTTGGTTTGCGTTAATCTCATACATTTTTGTGTTTGTTATAAAAGGCAGAAAACAATATGCAGAACGCATTGAATTCATTTGATGAAATATACTCGGTTATTCCACTGACTTGGATTATTTCATTGAATCATCCAACATCAAGTTAAGAGGGTTCATTCACATTGATTGTAACCGATTGTTTTAGGTTTTCTACCAGAATGTCAATGTGGAATTTTAATGATATTTCTTCACGTATGATTTTTTTAAAAACAATTGAATCCTTTTTCAGCAGTATGAACTGTTTCTACGGAATGAAGGCCGTGTTCCAAGAGATGCGGTCGTTACGTTCGGTTGTTCTTCGTCTGGTAGTATTCATTGTCATTTCTTTGTGCTGTGTTCATATAATTTGTTTTTATGAGGGCACAGTCGTATCTTTATAATTATGATGCGAGGTGTCCCAATTTATCTAAATCGTAACGAATACTGCAGAAGAAATGGATAGTAAAGCAGTGGGATCGTTGGGTGTTCGATCGGGATTGTATGTATCATTACCGTTTTATGCACGATTCGTTAATGTGAATGAAGCGATGGATTACTGCAAACAGCATTTACAGCCGTTAAATTTTGTGGGTGAACCAGCATGCGTCTTATGGGATTCGAACGATGGTCGAGAAATCGCTAATAGTTTCGTCCTCTCTGATAACGTAGGTGCCTTCTTCTTTGTTTCTGGTGCGTAATCTTTTTGATTTGTTAATGAAAATGATATGACTTCCTTCTCTCTGATATGATGTTTTCATGAATATTTCAAATATTCCTCGTTTTGAAGGCGTTGAAGTTTGTGATCCTACGTGATCTGTATGCATACGATGGTTATTCGGCATATGCAACTCGTGCCGGTTCATGGGCCACATTCACAACGTTTTCATCGTTTTTCACCTATTGGTTTCATAGCAGATCGATTTTCGGTAAAACTCTTCTGTCATTCATCGGTTGTTATGCACTTTTCTTGACGATGGCTTATTTCGGCGCGAAGCAATGGTATAATCTTTACAGGTTAGAAATTATCACCTATTTAATTTGTATCCTGATTTATTCACTCGACATTGCTCACCCTCAAAATCAGTTCACTAAACTCTCTCTCAATACTCGCAAAATATTGTACCATCTACCACGAAACAATTATAATTATTGTTAAGGCATTAAATTTTTCGCAAGCTGAACGATTCTTGGTTTGTTTGTAGATTTATGGCTGATGTTCATGCCGATGGTGTAGCTTCGCGTTCGTCGTTTGAGCACTGTGAAGGCGGTAAAGAATACTACTGGAAAATGTTGAAAAGAAATCGGTTCGTTCACTTATTGCTGCTGCATAATGTTTGGTTGTATTTTGATCATGATTAATTTATTGCGTTCATTAATGTTGATGATGAATTAAGATTACTACGCGAGATTATACCTCCAGAAAGCGCCTCAAAAGTGAAACTATCCGGTGATATACCCGGTATAACTACATCAATATTGACTCGTTACGATCATTTGAAAGATGTCAAAGCCGAAGATGATCAGCTGATTGAAGTTGCATCTGGAGATGCATAGTGTTCTCCTTCTTTAGAACTATTTATTCATTTGAAGTCGGATAGAACCCCATGTGCACTTCTTTTCGAAGGCAACTCATAATTAATTTAATCTCTAATCATTCAACTCTTAGAGGTATTTATTCAAAGTTCTGTTCCGTTCAGTGTCCAGATTCGAATGTTAATGTTCTGTTATAATGAAGGTTGAACAAAATGAGCAAGAAAGCTCATTTATGTGTTACAGTTGATTGAGCGTTTCAGAGAAATGTTCATCTCATTATTGTGTTGTGTTGTATTGAAATGACACCTATCCTGAATGACAAAGCAGTTATTTAATTTGCAGAATATTAGTAATACATCGTCACTGTAATGTATTATTTCCACTTCATTGAATATGTCAGCTGCTTTTGTACACAACTGATTAATGCTTTTCATTCTCATGTCCTCGCATAGCTGTCGTTATCAATATTATCTTGTCAATTTTATTGGAGCAGTATTATGTAGTTCGAAATTTGATATTTTGACATCTTCTCAGTTTGCAAATAAAGTCATGAGAACATTTGTGATTTGCACTGATGTTTTGCATTATTCGAATAGGTTTTAAAAAGCCTCTCAAATCGGAGTTTATATGAAAATACTTATTCCAAGACAGCCTAACTAGAAA